GAATCCTTCGCGATGGAAATGCATCTTACACCACCAAGATAGGGGGCTAGCTTGCTTACCGACTGGTGGCGGGCGGGCGAAGGGTCCAAAGGACACGTAGACCGGGGGCGAGTCAAAAGAAATAGTTCCATTTCCTTCTTGTTCATCAATCCGAAATCAAGAAAAACCGGGCATTACAGAAAGAACGTGAAAACACCCGATACCATTTCGACCTCGATATGTGAAATCGTCTTGCGCCATATGTACTGAGATTGTTCGGGAGACATGGTAAAAGCACGGTAAAAGAATTCAAATTTCAATCTTTCTGTGAGTGAACTGAGATTTCGTTTAATTGAATAGATAGAGATAAAGACAGTTCTTTTCTCTTTAGTGAAAGAAGGACCAACGACGATGAAGGATACGAAGGAGTTGGGATAAAGCGGGGTAGAGTAACGGTCAACTCATCAGATTCATGATCTGAAAATGCAGGTTCGAATCCCGCCCCCGCCAAAGAACGTCAGATACATCAGATGCTGGCTCTTCATCATTGGCAATACCAGAACCATGTGAGGAATCCTCTGTTGATCCATTATTTTCGCACTGCTGTAGTGCAACATCCTCAAATATCTGCGGTAGGACTCACATCATGCTCTGCTGGATACTTGCTTTGATGAGAAAAAGTCTAAAAGAATGTTCAAGTTTGAGGCCATGTGGTTGGAAAATTCTGATATTGAAAAGGGTGGTGGAAAATGGTTGGAGTATACAAGTTGAGGCATCTGGCAGCTACCAACTAGTACAAAAACTTAAAAAGAGCAAGTCGGATCTGATCTAGAAGGCCTTCACCAATAACAGAAAACTCATCGATGATCTAATGAGTAAATTGGGTGACCTCTTAAATCAAAAAGTGGAAGATCAGGATAACTTAGCTATTATGAATATTATGCAGCAACTTGAAGAAGCCTGGGATAGAGAGGAAAAGTATTGCTTTGCCAGGTCTAGAGTCAAGTAGACACTATATGGGGACCATAATACAGCCTTCTTCCACCAAACAACCATGCAAAGGAGACAGAAGAATCA